CAGGGGACATGCTGGATGACAGGTTCCCACCACTGCCAGGAGGACATCTCAGGTGCCACATGTCCCCTGCTGCCACCACCCTTCCAGGGGACATCCTGGGAGCACGTGGCCCTGCTGCCGCCATGGGGGTCCCGGCACACTCACAGCGAAGAGGCTGGTGCGGCGCTTGGCCCCGCGGTGCAGGGAGCTGGGGGTGCCCAAGGGGGCCGGGGTCTCACTCCGCAGCTCCCGGTGGCTGACGTTGGGGGTGGATGGCAGCGAGGATGAGTAGTCACTGGTGTGGCCACCGTTGCTGGCCTGGACAGGACATGGGGTCAGCCCCAGCACTGGCGCCCCATGGCCAGCTGGAGGGGGCAGTGCCAGCTGAGCTGGGGGTACCTGGCCAGGGTGAATGCCCCCAATGGGGGTGGATGCAGCTGAGTGGCTGGGTGTGCTGGGCAAGGACTTGCAGGACGCCATGAGCTGCTGCTGCTTCTTCAGTGCTACCACCTTCTGGACAACTGTGCAAAGGGCCCCGTGTCAGGCTGCCTATGCTGCTGAGACCCCCCAGTGACCCAGCCATGGGCTCCATCCTACCTGGCTGTGGTTCCCATCCCACATCAGCCACTGGCCACTGTCCCCATCCCATCTGGACGCGGTCTCCATCTCACCCGGGCCACTGGCCATAGTTCCCATCCCACACAGCCACAGGTTCTGTGTCACGCTGGACACAATTCCCCTCCCGCTCAACCATGATCACCATCCCACGCTGACCACGGTCCCTGTCCTACCTGGTCACCCTCCCACCCCTGCCACTGGCCAAGGTCTGCATCCCACGACCAGCATGCACCACCCCCAGCTCCACCGGTCCAGCTCGTGGAGCCGAGTGTGCCGGGACACGCACCCTCCGTGAAGACCCGGTCCACGTTGAGGCCATACGTGGCACAGGTCTCGTAGTAGAGGCACCGCTTCATGTCCCCGCAGAGCGCCTGGGCCCGGGCGTCCTCAATCACCCGGGGGTTGGAAGAACTGATCTTGTCTGGGAGGAGCAGGGAAGTAAGGTGGGCATCGTCTTCTCCCTGCCCCCGTCCCCATGGGGCGGGTCCCATGCCCCCAGCTCACCCTGGGTGCCCACCAGCGCCAGGGCCACCTCGCTGGTGCACCGGTAGCTGCTGAACAGCGTGTGCAGCTGCATCACCTCCTCGAAGCTGCTCTCGTTCTCCAGGCTGAAGACGAAGATGACGGCATCTGCCCAGCTGGCAAACTGGGGGGGGGAACGCAGACAGCAGTCAGGGCTCAGAACTGGCCAGCGTGGCCCCCCGTGGCCAGCAGCCCCCACGTACCTTGGCGTCCGGGGCGCCGCCTTCCTCCCGGATGAGCAGGAGGTGGCTTTGGCCATCGACCATCACCTCACGCTTGAACTGACCACCTGGAGCCAGAGGGAGGAGAGCAGAGAGACCTGTGGCTGTGCCTGACCCCGTGGCCTTGAACGTCCCACGGCCACGCCCAGCACCATGACCTTACCCATACCCATACCCATGGTCTCGACTGTCCCCGTGACTTTGTCCACTTGTGTGGCCACGCCAAGCACCACGGCCTTACACATCTCCGAGGCCATTCCCATGGCCACACCCACCCCCTTGGCTTGACTCGTCCCGTGGCCGTGCCTAACCCTATGGCTTTGTCCACCCTGCAGCCATGCCCATCCCCATGGCCTTGTCCACCCTCGTGACCTTGTCTATCCCCACGGCCATGCCCAGCACCACAGCCTTGTCCATCCCATGGCCACACTCAGGCCCGTGGCCATGCCTAGCTCCACGTCCACGTCCATCCCCATGGCCACTCACTCTCAGTGGGCTCCAGACCCACGTAGGAGCCGGTGAGGAAGCGGTGGACGAGTGCTGACTTCCCACTCTTGCTGCTGCCCAGGACTCCCTGGGGAGAGGGCAGAGGTGGCATAAGGGTGGCCAAGGACGGGAGGACGCACAGCAGGGACACGGGGACACGGTACCCACCAGGCGGATCTCGGGGACGGAGCGGCCCAGGGTCCATTCCTGGCTGTTCACCAAGGCCTCTGTGGGGAGGAGAGGGGTCGAGGTGGTGCCCGGGCACCCCCAGCACCTCA